TTCGTTAAGTCACTTTTCTTGTAATTCATATTGCCTGATATTTACGGCATTAATCAAAGACTATAATTATTGAATAAATCATTTAATCGTTTAAAAGTTGAATCTCCCTGAGAGATATTCATTTCTAATTATCTACGAGTGATCTATCCCTATCATCGAACCCAACCGCTCGGGTCTATAACACAATACAATATATATGCATAGATATTTTTACGAAATAATATAACAGAGATTTCAAAGCATAGATTATTACAATAGTATTTTCCATTTTTTTTAGTTGAACATTTAAATTTTATAAATAATATAAATAAATAATTAAATAATTTAAATGAATAATTGAATTTTATAAATAAATATAAATAGGTGCTCGAGATTGAGTCGAAGGTAATGTGGATCCACATTACGATCGACTCAATCTCGAACACCTATCGACTCAGTGCACAACTCGATCCACCCTACCGAGTGGTCCGCCAGGGATCCGCTGAATTACTTGGTGCAGTCTCAACATTCGCTGGAATCACTGGTGCTACCTCTGATATAGTAAAATCAGGTGGATCCATCTCCATTGAATCAAAGTCTTCCACAACCATCATCGAGCTGTCTAATGATAGTTTTGGAAGATCACCGAAACCTTTCTCCTCAGGTGCTGGACTCTCTAGAGACTCGGTGTCCGGGCTTGCTGGAGAGTCTACAATCCCCTTCTCCACAGCTGCTGGACTCTCTGGAGATTCGGGGTCCGGGCTTGCTGGAGAGTCTACAATCCCCTTCTCCACAGCTGCTGGACTCTCTGGAGACTCGGGGTCTGGGTTTGCTGGAGAGTCTACATTACCCTTCTCCGTAGGTGTTGGACTCTCTGGAGAATCACCATGATCATCATCACTGTTAGTAAACCTTCCAATCTCCGACTCTCCATCTGACGAGGTGATCGACTCAATCACATCCCATTGCAAATCACGCTTCATCGTCTCCGAAATTTACCTAGCGAGAGATCCCCCTCCAATCACATTTTTTTCTCATCATGCAGCTGGAGGACTTGGAATCTATAAAAATGTCAGCACCCGTGTATCGTAACGACTATTGTATCAATATTAAGAAAACGTGATCGGGTCGGCACAGTTCAATTTAAAACATGTTTACCAAGAAATCCAACGGAGAAACAATTCGTAAAATTTTCAACGGGTTTTGCTGTCTCGGTATCGCGAGGCCATAGAGTCGGATAGGTATGTTTTTACCTAACATTATGAAAACGTATGCAAATTGGTGCTCCCCCACTCCCTCCAACATTCTGGAGATATGCACAATCCACCCAAGCTATTCAGTGGTAGTTGACTGTCAGAGGATTGAGCAACATTCACAGTTACTTTTACAATATGGCAGTTGTCATTGATATTGAAGGTTTCAAAAATTTTGGCAACGAATTTATTGTAACAGAATTTACAATTTCCGCGCTAGAACTTGATGGTGATGGAAAGTTCGTGCATATGGCAGTTTTAGTGGATCCCCCACATAAATGGGATGAATTGCTTCCCAAGTACAAAGAAGTGAATCAGTGGCTGTCACGTCACTACCATGGACTACATTGGGACACTCCTGGAGATATCAAATACGAGACATTGAGTGAATATGTGAATAATATTCTGAAAAATGTTTCCGACATTTATGTCCAAGGTGCAGAGAAGAAGAACTGGGCACAGCAAATTCTCAAGAACGAAGTATCAATTGAGGATTTCAATGACTTTGGCAGCCCTGATATGGAGCCTCTGGAAGATGACGGTGTTTTCGAATGTGGCTGCCATCACAGTCTTTTTGATGGTAGTCCTACCCAATACCAATGCCCCCTTGAACATGTGCAACGTCTGAAAAAATGGTTCACCAAGTACAACGCGGGGTCTCTAGAGAAATCCTTGAAGAAATATTGCGAAACTCAGCATTTGAATGCACTGACCACTCAAGAAATTGCATTCCTACCGAAACATTTCATCAAAACCATTGCCAAGGACACCGTGGATGCAGCTTGGGACAAGTTGCTGGAGATAATGAAGAGGGATCCTAGTATCGCTAAGCTACGCTATTGCCGCACGCATTGGTCTTCAACATCAGCCTCATCACTCAATCCAATCCCCCCACCAATAGCAAAGTGCCCTCTGTGTCTGTATGACCGCTGATAATATATACTCGAAGTTATAATACCACTGTCATTGTATAAAAATCGGGTATAGATGTACTAGTGTATAATTTCTTTGTCACGTATACCCCTTCTCCTGCTCCACCCAATAAGATCAACATTTCGGGACACATATAAACATCTTATGGAAATCTCATCAGTTGGTTCTTGAATTTCATGCATTTAGGATATCATAATCATTCTTCTTGCATAGTCAAAAGTTATTGATTGTTTAAAAAATAAAATTCTTCAAAAATGTCAAACGATAATCTACTCGAGATGTGGGAGGAGTATTACCCATCCTTCGAGGCTGCCGTTGCACACGACCATGGAGAAAAATACAAGCGTCTTCTGGAGAATGTCATCACACCGTTGCAATGGTTCATGCAACTACCTGTATCATCGCTGATTACCCATGTCAATGGAGCTATTCAATAATTCAATGGTCTCACAAAAGTTTATCTCTCACTGGTTGGAGTTTGCAAAATCCTTGTGAAACCCGACGATTTTTATATATTTATGCAAGGACCTGCAGCTGAAAGATTTGATAGTGGAACATCTCCCGATTGCAGCTCAGGTGAGGGTGGAACTTCCCGAGTATGGGGTTCCCCAGGTAGTGCAGGTATTGGGACTCTGGAGGAAATGGAGGATGTGGCGATTGATATCCTTAGTTCATTTTTCCATAGTATATAATAAGCAATGAAAAATCGGATGAGGATGGGGTGGAGAGAGATAGCCAGTGAAGAAACGCACGAGCCTAGAGGAGGGGATACGGCACACCTCCCCTCTGAACGTAAGAGTAGTTGGGCTATCAGAAATTATCCAATCATCATTTGTACAAGAACAGCATGGCATTCATAATTGATTTGCAAGGATTCCAAAAACGAGGACAATTTATCATAAAAGAATTGAGTGCAGTGGCAGTGCAACAGTCTCCAAACATTGAAGAATCTCCCCCATCACCATCCTCTTTCAACCACCATGTGCCTGGAGTGGTCCGGAGATGCAGGATACTGTAACCAACAGGTGGTTGACTCGTAATCATCATGGACTACAATGGAGTGTAGGTGGTTGTGATTATAATAACATTGACAAAGTTTTTCACAATTTTCTACCGAATAGTGGGAAAATTTATGTGAAAGGTCTAGAGAAACAGCATTATGTCGAACAATTGCTTGGTGATTCATACCATGTTATAAATTTGTATGATTACAATTGTCCAAAGATCAACAATTGCTGCTTCAAAGAAACTACTCATCCACACATTCATCGAAAAATTAAGACATCGCAGGAGTTAGTTTGCTGCGCTTTGGTAAATGTGCACCGCTTGAAACATTGGTTCCAGAGTACTCATCAAAAATTCGAAAATAATGAAAAGGATTTTAATGAACTTTTTGATTGAAAAATCACACAATTTTTAATTAAATTATTATCTCAAAATCGTTCTCTTGTTTTGACTTGCAAACTGTAAAAATATATTTACACATTCTAATTCCAAATCCTATCCAACGACTCCTGTGACGTCACAAATAGAATGTGGAACGCTATATAAACTTCCCTTCTATGATGTAAAAATGTTTGCCGTATTTAGGACGGCTGTGCTCCATATATATATAGGCAAGAAAAATGAAGGGAAGAAATGGCTAGGAGCCGGATAGCTCAGTCGTGGTCGCAGAGCGGTACCGAGCAGTCACATGCTTTCCCGCTGAAACCCACTGCATTTAACCCAGCAATAAGTCGACTTTTGAGTATTCTTTGAGCCAGTTCAATTAACTCACCAATTGAATTTCCACCAACCATTCATAATCCCAAATCCAACCATCAGGCACCAAGGGTACCTTCAATATGACCAAACTCCTCTGTTCCGACCAAAAGAAACCAAAAAATGTGTCCTCCGAACAAAATCTCCAAAAAACCCAAAAACACTCCTGATAAAATCATCCCTAATCCTTCATCGTCTGTGGGTGAAACCCACATGCAACATGGAAGCCAGAACACCACAACTTCAGCCGGGTCGACTATCCAACCTCAAGTTCCACCCATCATCCTCGAAAATGGGAAACTAGACACTAAAAAGCTAATCAATTTCATTCAGGTGAATGTTACAAACAAAGATTTCAACTCAAAATAAAATGGGAACAGTACCAAAATCTCACTTAAATCCCAAGAGGATTTTACCAAAATCACCACACTACTAGAAAAAAATAATTTCAAGTTCTACACTTTTGGGCTCAAGAGCGAGAGAGCCAAAAAATTCATCATCAAGGGTCTCCCAACTTCCTTCTCAGAAACTGACATTTCTGAAGAACTCGCAATTAAGGGCATAAAAATACTATCAGTCCGGCAATTCATCAGATCAGATCCAGCCACTGGTAAGAAAATCCCCATGCCTATGTTTGCAATCACAGTCGACCACGAGGTGACCATGTCAAACATAACATCCATCAAAGCCATTTTCCACCACACCTTCAAGCTGGAGAAGTTCAGAAAAACGGATCAAGCCACGCAATGTTTCAAATGCCAACGGTTTGGACACGCCAGTGCTCACTGCCATCTCTCGCCCAAATGTGTCAAATCTGCAGAGGACCACGATATTAAATCCTGCTCCAACACTACTATCAAATGTGCCAACTGCGGTGCTGACCACACAACTAGCTACCGAAAATGCCCAAGCCGTCTGAACTACACTAAAATCCGGGAAGAAAACCAACAAAAACACCAACTGTTCCACTCAAGTCTGCATCGGATCCACTCAAGTCTGCATCTACCAAAACTTTTGCTGAACTAGCAAAATCAATTCACTGCTTCGGAACACCAGATTTTCCATCAACAATAGCAACCCCAGAGAAGTCGGTCACACCTAGAACGCCAACCACACCTGGTACTCCCTTCTACTCTCCAGCCGGACCATCGCTCCCCACGCCATCTCTGGTGAGAAACCAACATCAACCTACAAGACCTTCTAAACCCACAAGAACTGCAAGACCATCAGCTGACCACCTTCCACTTACACATTTAAGTATCACACACTCATGTATAAACACAGCCAAAACAATCATTGATGAATTACACAACCTAAACATCTTCCAAATCCTAGACGACCCAATCAGGATCACCAAATTCAAAAATGCCTCATCACCCATCGAAAAAATCCATATCATAGCCGCCTATGAATTTCTCTTCACCACGTCATCCCCCTCACCTTCAACCCCCCCGTAACCTCCTTAAACCTTTTAGCCATAAACACAAATGCGCTCAAACCAAACCTCCAGGAATCAACCAATATCTCCTCGACCAATAACATCCATATTATTCTATTATCGGAAACCAAACTTAACAATAAAATTAAAAAAATAATCCTCCCACAATACAACTTGATCGGAGAAGACAGAGCAGCCAGAGCTGGTGGTGGAGTGGCAGTGGCTGTCCGCCATTCTCTAAAATTTCAGATTCTCCCCCATAGCTTCGCTTCACTCACAGAATACGTGGTATTGAAATCGCCATTGAAGGTAAAGCCAGACGCATCTACTCCCTCTACAACCCTCCTGATATCCATCTCGACCCTCTTCTTAATTCCCAGCGCATGCCTCCGGGAATCACCACCCTTATTGCAGGGGACTTCAATGCAAAAGACGCCACCTCGTCCCCCTCCGGGAAAAATCGCTTGGGAAAGATCCTCCTGGACCTCCTAAACACCCAAAACACTTACCTACTCTTCCCAAACGTCCCTACCCATTTACCCATCAAATGGATATGCCCCCAGCACTGTAGATCTATTACTAACTAACAATAACTCCATAATAAAAAACTTTAAAGTCTTAAACGAATCTCCCTCTGATCACCTCCCCCTCTTTTTGACCATCTATGGGATCCCCTCACTTGAACCCGCCCCCCAACTCCTAAACTTCTCAAAAATGAATTGGAAAACCTTCCGTAACGTCATTAACGACCAAGTCTCCTCCACTAATCCTCCTCTACACACCACCAATCTAATTGACTCAATCCTCCGAAAAACCACCAACTCCATTACAGAGGCCATCTCATCCTCCACCACCCTAAAAACCGCAGGTCCTTACCATAAACCCCTCCCTATAGAAATCAAAACCTTAATCAAACAAAAAAACATAGTCAGGAAACAGTGGCAAAAAAACTGCGACCCTCTATTCAGGATGTGGTATAACGCACTAAGTAAAGAAGTGAGAACCAAAATCCTCCTCTGGAAACCGACGTCCTGGGACCAGAAACTCCAAAACATCAATCCAAACGACCACTCTATCTGGCAAATCGCCAAATCATTTAACAACCCATGCAAACCCAAAATGCCCACCCTGACCTTGACCAACCACCCATTTGATAACAATCACCAAAAAGCTAATATACTTTGCCAACACTATGCCAAACTCCACGAGATTGCAGCAAGCAGAGGCAACAAGTCCTTCTCCGATCATGTAAATGCACGAATTAACGTAATTTCACGTACTAACTCGTCCGACATTCCAACATCCTTCCTCACCTCACTTAAGAAACTAATCCACCTAATGAAAAAACTCAAAAATGAAACGACCCCAGGGATAGACAATATTCCGAATATTGTAATTAATAATATCCCCTTCAAATCCATCACCCTAATCTCAAACATCTTCAACGCCTGCCTGCGCCTCCAATACTTCCCTGCTGCATGGAAGTGTGCAGTGGTGATCCCTATCCCCAAACCTGGTAAACCTCCCTCAGACCCAGCTAGCTATAGACCAGTTAGCCTCCTGCCCGTCAGTGCCGAAAGCCATAAACAGAATTGAAAACGCAGCTTCATTAATCATCAATGAACTTTCGAAATGGAAAATTAATGTCAACACTTCGAAAACTGAAGCCATAATCTTATCAAACAAAAAAACTAAACTTTCCCTGAAAATTCGACACACAAAAATATCCACCTCGAACATAGTCAAATACCAAGGACTAATCCTGGACTCCAAGCTTCTTTGGAATCACCAGATCTCAGCCATTAACAGCAAAGCGAAAATCATACTAGCAAGGCTTTTCAACTTACTAAAATCAACAGCTCTTAGCATCAACTTAAAACTAACCCTGTATAAGGCCTTAATTAGACCAATAATCACTTATGGCTGTCCCACCTGGCATAATGCAGCCATGACTCACTTAAATCGATTGCAAGTGACTCAAAACAAATTTCTCAGAATCATCGGGAATTTCAAACGGAACTGCTCCATCCCTGAGCTGCACCAAAAGCTTGGTATGCCGGCCATAAGTGATTATATTAATAAACTAAACAACAATTTTAAAAACAGTTTAATAACCCACCCAAACGCAACCCTCCACCACATCGATATTGACAAACCATCCAGGCGGTCATTCAGGCGACCAAAATAATCCCCTTTCCCGCCCCCTCCCTCTTCCACCTCCTTCCTCTCACCATCCTTTCTACCCATTACTTATAAGGTTTTTTGCAAGTACATTTTTCCTTATTCTTCTACTGTAACGTCCTTTACAACCCCTCACCAATGACTTTTATAAATCAACCCCCAAACATCACTTATATTAGGTATAAAGCCAAGGGCTGGTGACCTAGGTCTCGACGCGTACAATTAGTTATAATTAGTTATAATACATTGTATATTTTTGCACATACCAAGTGTATATATACAGATTTAAGATAATAAACTATTAGCTCAGTTGGGATAGCTCAGTTGGGAGAGCACCCGATGCATAATCGGAAGGTCCCGGGTTCAAGTCCGGGTCTGGACTATCCATTTTTTCAGTAATTTTTCTTGCAAAAATTATATGGAGAATTATCCTGTTCCCCTTCCTACCTCATCCAAATCCTATCCAACGACTCCTGTAACGTCGCAAATAAAATGTGGTACGCTACATAAACTTCCCTTCTTTGATGTAAATTATTATACTTCTTATGTTGTATCATATCATTTTTTCGATCCATGGAATAGCCATTCACTCCACTTCGAAACCACGCATCCAAGCGGGTGAGTGTTTTGTTATACGGCGCGTACGTGTTCATCAGTAAACACACAAACTCACAGAAAGCATTCGATAATCACTGAGTCGTAGGAAATTTGATTGAAAAATTAAATTGATTCGTGTCTGTTTTCTTATCATTAATTGTTATCCAATTAAATAAAGTAATTGATGTTCCTTCTAAGGGTTTATATACAGTTAGGAGGTCGAAAAAAAGGCATTGTTCAAGAATTTTTTCTAAGCAAATTATTTGGTTTATTGATTTGAAACTTGGCAGATATATTATGACAACCTTAAACTATATTCACATATTTTTTATTG